CCAGGCCCTCCTTTTGCCATGGCTAAGGGCAAATGAGTGGAGTTGCTCTAACACCACCCCAAAGTCTCTGAGCCGACATCCAACACCTACCCTCCTCTAGGAACCCACGCCACACACCCAGCCAACCCCATGAACTTCGCTGAGGCTCCAAAATTAAGAAAACAATAATTAAAGAGGGAGAAGAGCATGTCAAAGTCTCATTAATGCAACACCGAATGAGAACTACACCAAAGTGCAAAAACAATCCAGGAACCAGTTCGTTATTAAAATCAAACAAATGCATTGGAATCTACAAATTGATTAACTAAATTTTCAGAAACACGTAAGCTCTGTAAATGATGAAAAAAGATATCACAAGCCAAAGAGGCATGCCCTCGGAAATTACGCTTGAGGCTTTTAAAACCCCTACCAAAAAAAAAATATATCAAAAAAACCAGGCCAGTCGCCATAACCCACCAAACTCAAATCGATTTCAAAACCTAATTTGTACTTGGTCAATTTATTGATCAAATTCGAATTTGAATCCAAACCCTAAGGTTGCAGAACACTAAAAAGCCTCAATTTCAGGCTTCGCTCGATTAAAGGAGGAGCTTTATGCGGCTTCGCTCGATCTGAACAAGAAATTTTCTTCTTGTTTAGGGCACGAATAAGACGACCGTCCAATCCGAGGCTTTCGAATGTCTGCTCCTCTTTGTCATCACTTTCAATATCCTTGGGTGGCTTCTCCGTAGTTTCAGCCATGGGAGAGTCTGTAGACTCCGAAGTTTTGATTTCTGGTGCGAACAAAAAAATTGAAATTGTTTTGTTTTCTGCTTGGGTGGGGGAAGAAATTTGGGTGGAGGGAAGAAATATGGGATCGAAGAAATCTGGGGGGGAAGAAATTGGTTTTTAATTTTTTTAATTTATAATTTAATATATTTAATTTTTTAAAATAATTTAAAAAGTAAATTTTTTATTATTTTTTGTCCACATGGAATTCTACGTCAATTAAAAAATAGGTCACACAAATACCACATAGGCAGATAACGGACTTTCTGACGATCTCGCTAACGGAGGAGGCAAATTGTAGGTTTTCTGCGACGTTAAGTATGTACTCGTAAATGTCCCCAAAATTGGATATGAACTCGTAAATGACCTTATAGGTTGGGGAGCTTATTGTATTTTGTCCAAAAAAAGAAACTCGCAAGCCAAAATCCAATTGAATCACTGCAGAAATTAGTGGACTTAATACCTAAATCCCCAAATTACTGCATCCCCGAGCACTATGGATCTCCTCATGGTGGAACTTATTCGTCCTACATTTGTAGCATTCAAAACTGCGTACTTTTTTCCCTTGTCCTGTCAATTGATGCTAATCATTTTGTTTCTTTTGTGATATCTAATGGTGCAGCCTCTTTGCCTTATTCTGCTGTTGGCTTTGTGAGGAATGCTTCTGAATTTACTATAAGCACGACTACCATAATAGCTTCCTAGCTTACTCTTGTATCTTTGTTTAGCTTGGGGCGGTTGCCTGACTCTTATTATTTTTCCCTGTGTATCCACATATTGTAATAATATACCATCATATTTTCCTTTTCTGCTCAGTCTTCTTATTTTTCCCTGCGTCTGTCTATTCTTCTTATACGCAATTACATTATACAAGTTACATCAACGCAACAAGAACATTTGACATACACCCCGCTTTTTTGAATGGGTTAAACAAATTTTCTACACAATATTTGCTCACTATTACTCAGGGTAAAAAGATGCGAGGTACACATAGAACCCTAATTGAATTGTTTTGGCACTTCCCAATTTTTCAAACAAGTAATTTAGATCGATACAATCACACGTGAATACCATCAATACAATCACAAGGTAATATGGTCATTCACCAAAAAATACCATCCATTTCTCAAAACACTAAGAAAATTCATTTAAAATCAAAACAGGTTCCATTTACCCATGGACTGTTGTCGAAAAAGTCCATATAATTTTAAATCAACAAAATAATTTATAAACCACATCAACATGTTAATCATAAGCCATTAACATTAAGCAAATCCACATTATAACAAATATAATACTTGTGATTCACTCACCTCTCGTCCACGAATCGACAATCTCAACGAGGAACTCTGGTCATGGTTGAAATACTAAGAAGAAACTGGTTTGCTTTCATGGTCATATACTTATATTACTTCCATCACAATAATCTTCAAAATAGTTGTTAAAATTAACCCTGAACCTCAGGTTAAAACATTGCAATTGTTTATACCAAAACAAACAGCCTATAAGGACCAAACGCGTGGACAAGATTGAGCCTATCTATGGTGGCCTTCGACACCTTGCCTACCGATCCAGCGATTATGGCAACTCCCTTCTCCAAGACACGTGGCATGCCCACAATCGACGTCCACAATCCCACATCGAAATTCTAAACAATATGCACACCTCCCAATGCCTATAAAAGAGGACCACTATCCCCCAAATGGAGGTAATCAGAGCTTACGACATACAGTCTATTGATATGTCAGTTTAAGTTTTCAAAATCCGTACTTACTTAAGCATCGGAGAACCTTCGGTCGGTACCACACAGGTGCCTAAGGTGTTACCGAGCTTTTGTTGTCTTGCATATCACAAGCTCTACCGAGGCCCAAAGCAAAACGAAGGCCCAACATCACTAAGTTGAGCCCAAAAAGTGCTGAACCACTTTTTTGCATCAACAGTTTGGAGCCCTTTATAGGAATCGACTTGAATCGACCCATTATCCCTGAAACGCATGGGGACTACCTCAATACCTGTATACCTGCCCGAGGAAGGATTGCCGTTCGGAAGGCAAAGTGGAGCTAGACCAGCGCTACCCCCTTGCACCCCCTTCAGCAATTTGCCCATAATGCAAACGATTGCCGAAACTGAG